ATTAGTCTAATAGCTTTTTATGATTAGTGTTAGGATGAGAAAGTTTGTATTATAAAATCATTCTAACAGCTCTTTATGGTTAGTGTTAGGATGAGAAAATTCATATTATAAAATCACTAATTATTTATTTGCCAAGTGAAACTATAATAAACACTCATGAATAAATAATAAGTAAATATTTATAAAGTACTTTATTAATATAAGTTTATTAACGAAGAGTTTGTACAAAGAGTTTAGTAATAGTGAAAATGAGTATAAATTTAGTAACAAAGAGCGAAAGTGTTTAAATAATGGTGAGTTAGTAAAAAGAAATTTAGTAATGAAGAGTATAATGAAAAATTTAGTAATGTTTTAGTAAAATAAAGCATAGATCACTCTTACTATTAATTGCATATTAATTAAACAAAAAAAATAGAACAATACTAATAGTAAGTATAAATTACTCTTACTATCAATTGCATATCAATCAAAACAAAAAAAAACTAATAGTCAGGTTTTGCCTCTGCAAAATTTACTGTATCCTGTATTTTAAGATCAATTATATTATTGTTTATACCAATTATTATAAACAGCATTATAATGCATATACAAAAATCACATAGGCAGCAAATTATAATTATTTTTTTTTACTTTTTTTTTTAGTTATAATTTTTTAGTTCTACTACAAAAGCTAGGTGGAAAAGATTTAAAAGAAATGAGGTAGTCATGGACAGCTATGGATCTAAGCTAAGGAATTATATAATTGGTATATAAACTGGCAATATAAGAAGACAAAATCTACTTTGGCAAGTTACAGATAAATGCTTATAGCGGTAACTATACAAGTTTTATTTTAATTATAAGATACTTAGTATTGAGAATAGTAATAGCATTTGATAATATAACTATTTACTTGTTTAATAAAATAAAATATAATTACCAAGTTAAAAAAAAAAAAAATACTAGTTCTAGTATATCAAAATTTTACAAAAAATACTTGATATAAAAAAATTTATTTTTATTAATTTTATTATTATTGATATAAAAAAAAATCATATTAAACAATTTTTGAATATTTATCAGATTTTTGTATATAAAAAAATTAAACTTTCTAATTTTTTGGATTTTTTATGAGTTTTTAAAAACTTACTAGAAAATGTAAATCCAAACTATTAACTTTAACATGATATAGTGAGGCATATATAGCAGCATCCTTTCGACATAGGTTATATGAAATTTCTTTCTCGTCTAGATAATTTCATTAAGTTCTATTCATTATGATCCATGATAACTTAATGTGCCCAAAAATATTTGTAATTACGATTAAAAACGATTTACAAAAAAAAATGTTTAATAATAAAACTCTAGTCCAAAAATATTTCTACATATTCTTGTTCATGGTTTCAGCGCGACTACGTCGCGCAGCTACCTAATTTATATATTAGTGCAATGTGAAAGAAAAAACTGGCCCCAAATCTCAAAATTAGGCTTAATCCGGGTAATCCGAAACTTTTGACCCAACCCGATTTTACAGATCGGATTATTCGGAACACTAGTATCGACAGTATATACGTAGTGTATTTATAATTTTTCAGATGTAAATTCTTATAAAAGGGTAATGAAAAATCAATTCTTCAATAATTTAAGAAATAATTTCTCAATAATTAAAAATAAATCGCCATAACTAAACATTATATAATGAACCAAAAATTTATTTTTATATTTATTTTATTAGTTACGATCTCCATTACCAATGCTATCTCTCTCAAGAAAAGAGGCTATCCCTGTTATAATCTCCCTACTTTTGATGCAACAATTTCACCTGAAACACCAGTTCCTGGACAAAATGCTACTATTAATGTTTCTGGAACTTTAAAACAGGATATTAAAGAGAACGGAATGCTTATTATTGGATTTCAATATGTTGACTGTGTCCCTCTAGGTGTTTACCCTACGACTCCTGCTCCTCAAACTAAAGCTGGCAATCCCTTTAATATAACAATCGAAGTTCTAGTACCACCAACTTTTGCATCAAAAGAAGCACCCTACTATATTCATGCTTTTATTGAGAATGGTTATGAGCCGATAGGTTGTGTAATTGCTTATAATATAGGTTGAAATTCAAAGGTACGCTTTTTTTTTTTATTCATTACACATAGCTTTGCAAATAATATACTTAAGTAGAAATGAAATTTTAAATTGATCTAAAATTTCGAAGCAATTTTAAAAATGATTTAGTATTTAGTAGATAATAATTTTTAAAATTATAATGATTTAATTAAGTAGACCATTTAAAGTTAATTTCTTGGTTTTCTTAATATAAAATAAAATTTATAATCCAGCAACCCGGATTTTTTTTAAAAAAAAAATAAATTTCAAAAATATTAATGATTTTATAAAATGATCTAAAATCAATCATAACCACTTAGTTCTCTTCACATTAATAGCGAAGATTTCTATTGCACAATGAATGTCTTTTCAAAATATTTATCAACTTTTGGACAAATTATAAATTCTTATTTTCATGCCTTCTTGTAAATCATCACTAATGTAGAATTATTATACTAATATTATGGAATGAATCGATTGACATTTTAAACTTACAGTATAAGAACATGCCTTTTTAGAATTAAATTGTCAAAAGCCATTATTAAATCATTTAGCTAGTATTTGAATGATGAAATCGTAAATTGGCTTAATGAAAATCATTATTAAAGTGTTCATAAACTTGAATTCGATTACGATGAGCTTGAAACTCTGTTAAATTTTCCTTAATTACAATATTTATAAGAACAAGTACAGTGCTTAAATATTTATTATTTCTTTAAATTTTTATTATAAGCGATTGATTGGGAAAAGAATGAAAACATTAGCAGAGGCTATTAGCAAAAATATCATTTTGATTTCCTTAGGCATTTTATTAGTGATGCCGACTAAACATTTTATAATCACCATGTTTAGGTTTCATCACATAATAAAACTGGATTTTAATATATATTGTAGTTTTAAAAATAAAACAAATAAAACTAGATATTTCATGGATTTGTATTTAAATATCACAGGATTAATTTGACTAATATTCGGATATCTGTAATGTCTACAATATCCGGATGGCTATTTTTTGATACGGATGTTTAACAACGAATATCAGGATAGTCGCTCTAGGCATGGATATCATATCCAGATAGCCACTTTGGGAACGGATACCATCCGATCCCAACACTGCTTATGAAGGGTTGACTGAATAACAATAACGATAGCAGTTGAATAAGAAGTTAACCAGATGTGATGTTCACATAAAGAGATATAAAAGAGTCGAGAATATAATAATATTAAACCCTTTAAATGATGCGGTGATAAAATAATTGATATTGATGAATAATTATGGAATCTATATTTGTGAAATTTTAAGCGTGTCCGGATAAACCGAATCTTATTGGTCAGTTAAAGTCATCATTTGTTAAACACGCTCAAGGATTGAAATTGCAATATCGTAATACAATTAATTAATAAAAATAATTAGAAAATGATCGTGACTAATTTATAATGATAGGCCGGTCTTCGAAATTAATAATTTTCGGTTTTCAATCCAATAACAGATAACAGTTCAGGTTCAAATCTACGGACCTAAAACGCCAAGACATACAGCAATATTAATATATGTGATTCTTAAATTAATAAGGGGTTTAAAGTTCTGCCTGTCACTTTTAACAGATTTGATTAGCCAATTTTAGATTCTGTAATCTATTCATCTGTTGATCTTTTTTGATTTCGTCCACATTTTAAACGCCTAAAAAAGAACGGCCTATGTGTCGAATTATGATATTGTAATTTATACAGATCAGTATGTGAAAAATAAAGTATACAGTATATTCTAAAATTTGTATCATACTGATATTGTGTCATATATTACTATATTAGGTTTAGAAACTATCATTATACGTATGTACGTATTATATAATACGTATAGTATGGTATTTATGATTTTTATACCTTTTACCATGCTGATCCTATGTCATACATTGCTGTATTAGGTTTTTAGTATCTTTTAATAGGTATAATTTTTAAAATAGGTACGTACGTATGTATGTACGTTATGAGTCCGGAAACATGACCTGAGGAGGCACATGCTCATAGACAGAAATTTGTCTGATTGGCTAGTTTTTAGATCGATTTGTAAATCTACACGTGATTATTACCCAATCAAA